TATATACATATAAAACTCGCCTATATCGCAGTTTTGTACTTAATAACATCTATTTTGTTCAAAATATAAAAAAACTGGCATATATTACATATTGGTTGCCTTGCTTAAACCATCATCGGATGAACATACATAAACTACGCCTATATATAAAATATGTGTAGTACAAGTATTCATCTTTTGGTCTCTTAATGTTGGCTTCATAATTCTGCACTAATAGAAATATGATTTTGTAGGGTGATCGTATACATGCTTCAATCGGAAAGTATGTTGTTAAGTTTTTTAGGAATAAGATACAGGAACTTCGCTTATATCGTATGAACTACTTTGTTGTCGGACCAAATAATTTGAAGTTGAGGAATACGACACACAACCTCAGGCTGACATTTACACAAAAGACATTTGTTGAGGAAACAACTGATCCTTCTTTACATATGAACATCTTTAACTTGCGCCCTTTTGACCAACTAACAAATCAACATTATGTCGATGAGACAGAATTATTCGGTAATTCTTCTTTTCCTTTTTATTCAAATAGTAGGTTTTGTAAAACTATGTTACTAACTTTTATATTTATAGATGTTGTTGGTCAGGTTGTGACCTATGAAGATGTTAAGACCTACAAACAAGGAGACGACCAAAGTGTCCTTATTAATGTTGTACTCGAGGATGAACAGTAAGTCATTCGTAAATAAAAACAATACTTTACAATAAAACTACCTATATTGTTGTTGATTAAGTTTTGCCATAAAACGTATAGGAGGAACATGATTTTAGCAACCTTGTGGAGTGAACTTGTGGATCAAATTCACCATCACTTGAATGAATCTACAGAAGAACCTTTGATTGTTGTTTTCCAACATATGAAAGCTCAAAAATTTCGAGGTTTACCATTAATTACATATTTTTTTCAATTTTAGTTTATAAATATTATATAATTTCAGATTTATAATTATAGTAAATATAATACACATGTAATTACTCAGTGCGTAGTTGTTGGTATCAGACAAAGATATGGATTAATCCTACGCTGCCGCAATCTACTGAGTTTAAATCCAGGTTTGTCAAGTGTATAATCCTTTTCTATACGTACAAAAAATATAAAAATAGTATTGACAAAACAAATTAGTAGGTAAATAATAATTTATATATGCACGGCAAATGTTCATAAATTTGTATATTATAAACCTACGACAAAAGTTCATAAACCTACAGAACAAAAGTTTGCATTTCTTATATATTCATTATCTTCCTTAATTTTCGACTTATGAAGAATCGTCCAAATATTGATCTTCATTCATCTTTATTAATCATGAATTTAATTAGTAGTTATTTCAATCTTTCTATTAAGGTTTTTGATGCAACATGTTACTTACTTAAAGTTAATTGAACTTTTATGGCATGACATTAAAGGTGCTGATGATGAGGCAACATTGTTAGCTAGCATGCTTGAAAATAGGCCTAATACACTTGGTTCTCAGCTTTCTTTTCATCTAACGCAATTCTNAGTTTTCAGTCCATTCCAGTTACATGAACCTTATATACGACCTCCAATCGACATTACTTGCTAAAATTTTTAGTCAAATTATGCAATCAATGGTAGTATTGCTCTCCAACTGCTATTAAATGTTTACTATTTTTGTAGGATGTTATGGCCGAAAGTGAGATGAAGTATGTTTTACAAACTCCCATCGAAAAAAGCGTATCAGAAAGTGGATCGTCCGTGTTAGAAGATGGTAATGCTTGCAATGCAAAAATATCTCCTTTGAAGACGTATGACAAGAGGAATAGATCCGCTAATAAGGCATCAACAGTAGGACAAGATGACGACTTCAATTCTCAACTCTCTAGCAACAAGGTTCGCAGAGTCGTTAAGAAAGAAAAGAATCCATGACTGGCTACTAAAATGTCTTTAGCTATGCAATTAAGAAAGTAAAGTTTTTTATTATTTTCGCAAGTTATATGTGGAGAAGAATCGTCCAAATATTGATCTTCATTCATCTTTATTAATCATGAATTTAATTAGTAGTTATTTCAATCTTTCTATTAAGGTTTTTGATGCAACATGTTACTTACTTAAAGTTAACTAAACTTTTATGGCATGACATTAAAGGTGCTGATGATGAGGCAACATTGTTAGCTAGCATGCTTGAAAATAGGCCTAATACACTTGGTTCTCAGCTTTCTTTTCATCTAACGCAATTCTCAAAGGAACTAAAGAGGATGGCTTCTTCAAACAAGTTTCATAAAATGGATGGAGCAAATTTGGTACTTTTTTAATCATAAATTATATATTCTTTCAATCAAAAATACCGCTACAGCTGTTTCAAAACATTCTCAAAAAGAAAATCATTATGCAATTGGAAGGTAATTCTATTATATTTGTAACAGTTTTTTTTTCCTACACATGAAACAAAGAAACAATATATATACAATCTCGAAGGACATTCAGTCCAAAGCCAACCATTTTTCATGGAAGGCTATACAATACATGTGCAAAAAATAAGGAATTATTAAAGCCCTATGCTATATATTGTATTAACAATTGTCTATGTATCAATGACCTAAAAGTTAGATGAATTATAGAATCGATAGTGTACCATGATGCAGATTACTGGTGAGTAAAGATATATATCAGTTTATTGCATACGGATAAATATACATAAACACCACGATTTTCAAATATTCACAATATTAGTAAAAAAGAGAATTTTTTAAGAGTTACAACTTACTAAGAGTTAATGACAATGGGCTAAATCCTTCGTTAATCAATTGAAAATATATTGGCCAAAAATTAAGTTTACTTTTGTACTTCAATTAATAATTATTTCGAAAATATATTTAGAAAATTTTCTGTGGGAGTTATAGTAAACTAAAAATACCAATATTTCTATTTTTGGAGGTTCTACGGATGAAGAAAATCACCGATAACAGTCGCGATGAGGTTTATATGTATTGAGTAATTTTTATTAACTTCAAATTAACTATTTTTCTTCAGCATTATTACATCACGTTCTTTATCTACTCCCTTTTATTGTAAAAATTTATTCACGCTCAATGTTTTCTTTGAGGTATTCCTATTGAATGTACTTATTCTATTGTTGATTTCTTATCAGGTGTCAGTTTGTGCAATGAATGATCTTTCGCAATAACATATTCAAGTACATGTCTCTTCTCATTAACATTAATTGGTGCACTTGATCTCAAGAAATTCTATTCCATGTTAAGATGTAAATGTTCGTTAGTCCTTTGAGACTCTTGGTGAAAACCGGTTCTTTTAAGTTCAGCGTGTGCTTCAGGTATGTGCCATTGGCATCTCTTTATTAATCTCGTGAAATGCTGCACCTGAATATATTGTCGTTTAATGTTGTGATTTTAAGGTATAAGGGTGTGAAGACAGAATTTTGAATGATAAATTATGTTTTTTAAAGGAGTTGCAATTTGAAGTTTGAAAATTTGATGCATTTACAATCTTTTTTTGTGTGCAGATGTTAAGAAGAACCGGTACCATGGAAAAGAGCTGCATTTTTATGTATTCGAAAAGTTTCAGGGTTGAACTGTGAAGGCAGACTTTTAATAGGTTGAAGTATAAAAATATTTTTCTTAGGCAGCAACTATTGATGGTTATGTGTTGAATGAAAATTTTGATGAAGCTTTGAAACTCTTTAAAGACATGTAAATGGAAGGTGTAGAACCCACCCAGGTTTTTATGAATGTTCAAACTCCGCAAAATCAAAATTCTTTCATGCTCCTTTATGTATACTGTATTTCTTTATGTATACGGTATTCCTGCGCAACGCGCGGGCACGAATACTAGTATCAAACGAATAGGAAAGGTGCCATAACGATGCTGCATCCACTGAGCCATCATTTTCTTCAATTAATGAATGATGGATGATAGACATTACATATATTAGTTTTGTTGTGAGGCAGAGGTCATCTACATATAAATTTGCAAAATTCTTGAGCACAACCCATGAATTCCATATTATATGATGTTTGAAAATTTGGAATATTCCCTTTTTAAAATGTCTAATATCTTGTCACTCACTTTATTATATAGTGCCTAAAAATATTAAAGACCTAAGCAGTTTTGATATTCATGGTTGTATAACAACTGATGTAATCTACTTTTTCTTTAGCTATATAATGTTAGGTTTAGTCTGTTATCTTATCTCCATAATTTCTTTTTAATTTGCAAATAATTCTTGCCTAATACTGTTATCATATGTAATCTTTTCCAGAACATCCAGTCCAAGAGGCCTTCAACCCTTTAACCGAAGGATTTTAGACGGAAAAAATTAACTTACATAGCTGCTTACCTAATCGATTAAACTAAAAGTAACTAGTAAATATATAATATATGTATAATATGTATATAACCGTGTATAATCAATATAAATATTTACCGACTAGAAAAATTAAAACAACTATTTTGTGTAAAGCCTAATACAACTGTTGGCTATTAATTAGTCTTTGTTGTGAGGCTGAGATGATCTACTTGAAAATTTGTAAAGTTCTTGAGTACAGCCCATGAATACCATTATAAAAGAAAATAAAAGAATTGAAACTGTGGAGTATTCCCTTTAAAAAATGCTGCCACTCACTCTATAATATAGTGCCGAGAAATATTAAAAAGGCAAAGCAGTTTGGAGGTTCAAGATTGTATAACAAGTGAAATAATCTACAAATAGTTAGGTCTAGTTTGTTGTAATATCTCCATAATTAAGCTTAATACCGCCATATTTTTTTAATTAAGCGTAATCCTTTTTCCAAGTGGCATTCAACCCTTAAATTAAATGATTTGTGAAAAATAACCTCCACCTATAAACTCCCAACCTTCCCGTTTATCGAAGTCCAAAAAAATATTGTTATCTCATAAGGGTATTTTTTCCATCCTTAATCAAATGTATGTGCGAGTTTGAGTTCTAAAATTGAAGAATGATCTCTTGACATATATACTTACTCCCCTCTGTGACTTATTTAGCGCGAGTTCAAATTAGTTGAAGTGTAAGTGAATTTCAAATACAATATACCTAATAAAAAAATATAAAAAATTGCATATATCGTACATCCTGACAATGAAAATAGACATTAAACTAAAAACAAATAGAAGGGGAGTATTACATGCATATACACAATAATGGAACTTGCATTTTTACAAACCAAGAAGGCAACGACCAATTATCAACCGTCATTTTTTTCTCTAATATCCATTTATTTATTTTGAACCTAACCAAATCCCTTCATGGAAAGCCAAGCCAAGAATCCACACAAACCACAACCTTTTCAATTACTATTTTTTCTTGGAGAATTCGGTATAGCAACTCAGGTTCGTTTGCACTGCACGTCCCGTTGGACTGGACATAGACTAACTGTTAGAAGTATGATTTCGAAAGTGACTTCGGTTCGCCAGTTCAGGCCACTACATCATCATTAGTACATGAATGCATCAGCATAAGCCATAATAGAGTGATTCACTTGGAGCAAATTCCAAGGGTTCAAGAAATCATCTAATTCATGATAACTAGCATATTCCTCATTTTCATGAATTGCGGCACCAGAATTTAAACTTGATGAGTTCACATAATTTATGATCTCGTTTAGAGACTGCAGCCTGTGGCTCAACTCTGCAATCTGAGCTCTGAGAATCAAGTTCTCTGCTTCCACGTTCGTTTGAAACTGTGTCAACGTGTTTATATTTGTTATAATTTGGTTGTTTTCTCCCCTAAGTTGATTCACTTGAGCTGTTAGATCATCGGAATGCTTTTGCTTCTTCATCCTTGACCTTCTTGCTGATTCCCTGTTTGATATCATTCTTTTGCGTTTCCTTTGGTCCATTAGTTGTTGCATATCTTCTTGGCTTGACCCTGAAGTAGTTCCACTAAATGAAGCCATATCTCTATATAATTAATTGATGGTGTTGTAACAAGGCTGCTCTTTTAATGGTCTTACACGGTACCAATCTGAAATTTGTCTGGGTTGATGGATTAATTGATGGTGTTGTAACAATATGGACCGAACTTGAATTAGTTAGGTGAGTGAGTTCTGAATACTGATGATTAACCTACCTTTAATAGGCCCTACACGGTGTAGATCTGAATTAGTCGGACAAATGGGTCGGGATACCGGGTTGTTGAAAAAAGAAAGATAGTGTTGTAATAACTCGATAAAAATATCAATACTATACTAATAGCTAAATTAGGATCTAGGTGTTGATATTTAATGGAGTTTAAAGGTTATTTTTTCATGAGAACACATAGAACCAGTAAAGGAAGACGACAGAGAAAGATTGGACTAAATGGGTACCACGACGAAGGGTTGAATTGATGGTAAAACCAGAAAGAATGACTTCACTAATAACTGGAGACATGGATGTCAAACATCAAGAACCAAAGTAAAACATGTATATGTCAACAGTAAAAGTCATGAGCAGTGTCTTAGTATAGTCGTAAGATTTATAAGAGGAAATAAAGAGGAAATGAGAGAGGGGAATATTATAGGAGCAGAGTTTTAGTCTTTTAGAACACCAAAGTTTAGGAGAGGAAGGAGAAATGGAAGAGGTTTGTGATAGTATTGGAGAACCATTATATAGAATTGTAAGTGCCCCTTGAAGGAAATTAAAAAGTAGGACGACTCTGCCAATCAAATATAAATTTCCAAAAAAGACTAAAATAAAATATGTAGTGTCTTTGAAAAGGGGGACTTTCTATTGGGGGTTTTCTTTTTGCTAAGGTAGGTAAGAAAAGGAGAAGTCAAAAATGGACAAACGTGCTTGCGCAGGACTTGTTTTACGATTTGGAAGGGCTCCAGCTATACAGTGAAATCTATATATGAATTATAAAGTTAATAGTATGTTTAACTTTATTTAATTGCGGTTCTTTTGTTGTATAGCTAAGTGTTAATAAAATCTATAGTAAATTTTCGTATGTATGTGTGAAATAAAGTTACAAGACGTGATGTGTTTGTTTGAGTGGCCTTATGAATTACTAAAGAACCTGCTTTACTCCTTAGACGTAAAATAAAATAAGCAGTAAAGAAAAAAACAACGATTTTATGTGAAAATTTATCCGGTTCAAAAGGTGCAAAAATTACGATCCACTGTGTATGGTTTTCATAGCCAACTCCACTAGAACAATGAGCCAAAATGTATCGATTACAAGATTGTAACTCAATACTCTCCAATACTCCTCTACGACTATTTGAGTTACAAGTTACTCTAACATGTAAATCAAACAATCACTCTAGCTCACTAATTGTTTGTGACACTTTGTTTACAACTCGATTTTCTAAAACACATTCACTAGACTGACTCAAGAAGAACACAACACTGGTACTCGACTAGAGTATGTAAAATGTAGTTCTTCAGTTGATGTGTAAAAGGATATAGGTTCAGCAGTCCAGATGGATAATAATTAAAAGCATGGACTCCAAGATCTTCTAGGAGTCCTATGCATAGTCACTGTCTCGTTTGATAGGACTCCTACTGTTCCAAGGACTCCACCAGTCTTGGGACTCTTGTCTCTCACTTATTTATGCGTATCGTCTTGGGCAACAACCCTTATCATGTGAAGAAATCTTCTTCCACCAAACTCGGACCCGAGTAATTTTGAGATAATGTTACTGCCTTGCACAGACGTACAATCATCAGCCATGAGGAGCTGGTCCTTCACCCTGAGGAGCGAGTTCTTAGAGCAGTTAAGCAACTAAGTTGAGGACCTGGTTCTTCGAACATTTCAACAGAACAAACTTTGTTCATCATCAAAATCTCAATACTCAACAAATTCCCCATTATGACAAACTTTGTACATACTAGAACTGGATAATCACACCAACTCATGATCAACCGGCACATCGTACCACAGACAGACATACCCACACAACACTCCCAACTCTATCTTCCCCCTTTTGGCATCATCGAAAAATAACAAAAGATGTTAGACATATTAAGCATAGTTAATGCAAGATTCAAAGCCATACAGGCTACAATACAAGATCAAGAATTATCAAAGCAAACGGACTAGGCTGTTGATCTAACCAAGTACGAAGCATTAAAATATTATAAGAGAAGTCATTTAGCAGTGCCAAAAATAAGCCTAGGGCCTTGTCTTAGACCATTAGAACAAAATAAACTAAACCTGCTGCAACATACTCAGACTATAACAGAAAAAACAGAAACTAAGGCATCACTGGAATAACAAAAGAAACTAAGGACTCTGGGGAAGGAACAGGTTCACGGGTGAGAGGTAGAGGGGGTCAATGCTTTCACTAGGGTGGCAATCTGTTGACCATAAGCTTCCCTATCCCTTCTGAGCTCTTCCCTAAGCTGCCTGGTTTCTTTCCTCACCTCATAATTGTCTTCTCGAAGCTTGGCATTCTCCTCAATAGCTAACTCCAACCTCTTAGTGAGCTCTGTTGCCCTGCTGCTTCCAGGTAGAATAGTAGAACCTGTTGGTCCTGTAGCCTTGATCTCCTCATAGCCACACTGCTTGAGGGTAACAACATCCAAGACATCATTGTGATTTTCATACTTAAGCTCGGACAATGTAATGTTGAGCCTGTCAAACAGCTCAATCAACATGAAGCCATAAGGCATAGCATGCTTAGGCTTGGAAGTGTCTGCAGCTCTTGCCATATGCTAAATCATCAGGCTAGGGGGATTGATAGCTCTACCAGTGTCAAGCAGTTCCATCACAGCCATGTCCAACGGGGTAGCCTCATGCCTTCTCTCAAACCTCTACAGAATGCATGAATTGACAAAGTGAAACAACAGCTTGTGGAAGGGGTCATATCAGTCTTGTACATCTTCTGGGGAGCATTCAGTTCAAACTTTTGAGAGAACTTCCTTGTGACCACAATTCCTGTGTCCACATCATTATCTATGGCTGGCCACTTTTTCTTCAAGTAATTGTCAAAACCTAAAGAAAAATATTCAGAAGCATACCCAGCTCCTCAGCATCAAACTTTATCTCAAACCCCCTTACCTTACTCTTGACAACCTTTCCATCAAACTGTAAGTTTGCATAGAACTCCACCACAACATGCACATACACAGGAGGGAAAGCCTTGACAAACATGTGTTTCTAACCCTGTAGCTCAAGTTTTTCAACTAGTCGAGCCATCTCTTTTTCATCAGTGTTTGCAAGAATCTTCTCGTTAAGCATTTTTCTATTCTTGAACTTAGTGAGTTTATCAACCACAACTGGCGTACTCTTTCTCTTCTTTCCTCTATTGGCCCTTGCAGATGGGGTAGCAGTTTTGTAGCTTTGACAACCTTTCTCTTTTATGTTGATGACTTTTCTGGCAGAGTAGAATCAGACTCATCTTCTCCATCCAACTGAACTACAAGTTCCACAACTAAAATTTGCTTCCTTGGCTTCTCGGCACATCTGGACTCCTTAATGATTTGTTCATTAACAACCTTTATTTTACTCCTTGTGAGAAGTGTACTGGCAGGAGGGTCTACTTCTTTCCTTGAAGGGACGACAGACTTTGTTGCTTTCACATGAGTCTTCCTAGGCTTCATCCCTACTTCAGAAAATGGCAAGTAATCTCTATCACTACTGATCTCCTCATCTCCAGTGAAAGGAGCTAACAAGGGCCCAGGTTCTTCAGTCCTTTTCCCTTCACTTGCTTCTTCTGAAGGGGCTATAATAGTGCTCCCAATAGTCATAGAGCCTCAGATTCCCCACTCATATTCTCATTCTCTTACTCACTTTCTTCATCCTCTCCTTCACTCTCACTTGCCTTTTCTTGATCCTCACCTTCATTGTTAGACTCACCCTCTGTTTCACTGTTTGTTTATTCTTCTGCAAACCACTTCTATCTTCTGTCTCACTCTCCTTCTCTTCACCAGAATCTCGCTCATTCTCACTCTTTCTCTCTTCATTAGTAATGTCCTGAGTAGGATGTCCTACATGATTACCCACTATCCCTTATTCTTTTTCACCTCCATTATCATCCTCATCCTCCGTCCAACTGAAAGAAAGACCATCAGATTATCCTTTTGTCACGCCCCGAACCTGGAAAGGCGTGGCTGGCACCCGATGCCGTAGTGGCCCGAGCGAACAACTTTGTAACTCATTCATTCCTTTTTATAACTATCTTTGGCCAGCATGGCCACAACTCGTAATGTAAAATTGTGAGTGGGAAAATGTTCTATCAATGAACCATCGTTCATAAACAGGAATACATATGGGCCGTCAAGGCCTCTGACATACTGTACATAATAAATCTGTGTCTACAAAGCCTCTAAGATTATTTGACATCAAATGGGACAAGGTACCGGCCTTCCCATAAGTCTGTAGCAAAACTCTGACATGATGACTCATAGACTCGGCTGCACTCCGAATGAGGTGGAGTCTTACCGATCCTTCGCTGAATGCCAATCTTGTCTACTAGGAGGGATCGTCAAACTGATTATCTATATCCGGGTGCATGAAACGCAACGTCCCCAACAAAAGGACGTCAGTATGAATAATGTACTGAGTATGTAAGACATGTAAATCGCTATATAAAGAACATGGAAGAAACGTGGAGTAAAGGACCTAACCTGTAAGTCTGGATAGCTCTGTAAATCATGAAATATTTATAATGTCATGCATATGCGTATAAATGTCGTGTAATGCATAGGTCTGTATGTACATCACATCATAAAGCCTCTAAGGGCATCCCGTCATATCATCTCAGCAACTGTGGGCAAAATCATTATCATATACCAGCTGATCAGGTGGTGGTGCGTATATAACGCCATAACCTTTTTCATATCCCATATACATATATATACTTATATATACGCGTATATAACGCCATAACATCATCACGCCTATGAGGGCATCCCATCATATCATCTCGGCCACTGTTGCCAAATCATCAGCATATACCAGCTGATCAGGTGGTGATGCGTATATAACGCCGTAACCTTTTCCCGTACCCCATATACATATATACGCATATATAACGCCGTCCGGTCATGGGTAAATGCACATGTATAAATGAATACAATGCATGAGAAGTATGTCAATAAAATCTCTCAGAGCATCATAAGACCAGTATACCTTTGATTAATGTCATGAAGTAAACTCTATCAACTTACGTATTTTAACCTAGATTTCGTTGGAAATTAACTCAATTTCGGGCGACCTCCAAAAGTTAATTTCATACCCCAAGACTCGAACCTCAAACCTCTAGTTTAGAATTGAAAAGTACTTACCATACCAACACAACATTTGCTGGTCTTTCTTAGAGTTTCATCTACTGCTTTAGTTTATCTTGATTGTACTAATAATATAGAGTTTTCTTGGTGAGTTATCTGCCAGTTTCTGTTCTACATATTATTTATTCAAAGAATCAGCTTTATTGCCACTTTTCCATCCACTCTTATTCAAATAGATGAAGATTTCAACTTTGTAGCGTGATATTTATGTTCAAACTAAACGAGACACCTAACTATAATAGCATACTCTACATGCTAAAATATATCGAATGGGCAGTACATATATGATGCAAATATAATGTTCTTTGTGCCATCTGCAACTGAAAGTAGTTCTATTATAGG